TATCTATCTATCTATCTATCTATCTATCTATCTATCTATCTATCTATTGACTTGATATGTGTGCCTGTAGAAATAATTTCTATAACAAACTTGCAGATTACTTAAAGAATGAATGTTTTCTACCATATTCTAAGAGCAATCTCTATAAATTCAAGAAATGAATGGGGCTCCATCAGAAATGACCCTCAAAGTGTTTTAGCAGATCACACGCGTTTTATCACCCAAGATCAATAAACACAAACTCTCCCATTTCTGGTTATTTAATCAACAGCTTCAATTGAGTGACTGAATTTTTAGCCTGTAGCCGCCAGCACGGCTTCCTTTTCCACCTTTCCACAGGGGAGTGTGGATCTGTTGATAACTGGGACTCAAGTGCATTATCAGTGTGTTCACTGCCAGCCATCATGATTAGGGCTCGAGGAAGGTCACACAGATCTGATTAGACGCTCATGAGTTCTCATTACATCCTGAGTAGAGGGGTTATGTCTCCACCAGTGTGGCACTGCTCAGGTAGTGCTTACCGGTACGGGTGACTGTGGCTGTCTGATATAGCGCGTTCAAACTAATGCAATAGCGTAGCTGATTTGATTTTTGAAGGTTTATTGGGTGAGCAGAAAAATGAATGCTGGATAATGAATAAGCAAACACACAAATCGCTCTAGTCCTTATGAATAAAAAGCTTTTGTGCACCTTGAATGGATGTGCCATGACATTTTATAATAACAAGCCTCATTGCTGTGGTGCAGAGGCTGCCGAATATGGTTATGATGACATTCATAACTGTTGTCATCATTACAGCTATGGCAATTTTGCTGCACAGCTCAACACATTAGCAGGCACAATGGATTCTCTCCAAAATGCATTTCTACATGAGGTCAACTGGGAGAAGGCATAAATGATGCTGATTATGACAAAGATTATTTGAATAGCACCCTTGTTCAAGTGACTTATCAGCATTGGAATGAATTTACACATAATACATTGTAGGGGTTATACAGAACGCAGATAAAATCAACCTCAAAGCTCTGTTCTGGCTTCACACTGTTTGAGCCTAGAATTCCATTTTCATTGTATACCTGCCTGGAAAAAAACAACAAAAAACCCCAAAAGAAAACGGAGATCCAAAGAGAGAGCCCAGACTCCTGTGCTCTCACGGCAGATAGCAGTGCAACACTGGAATGAAGCTGTAGCAGTCTTACCCTGAAAGCCATGACGGAACCTGGAGCCAAGTGGCAGTAGTTCAGGGGTGTATTCATTATATCCACCTAAAAAGACCTGGTTGAAAACATTGAGGCCCACCAAAGGTCCAGGAGAAAATCCCGTTCTGTTACGCTGACCATCAACCTGAGAAGACATAGTAAAGTGTTAATATTCGAGCCAGAGTCTTACACCTGTAGGCGTGAGCACAATTTATTTACAAGTCTTCAAAAGCTGACAAAATACAGAACCTTGGACAAAGCTATTCAGTCTCTGCCTGTTTATAAGTTGCAGTAGTTAATACTGTCCAATACCTCTGTCTCTAAATGGGCTTTTTTAGGTCACTGGGTTGCCAGCGATTTCGAGCGATGTCTTGACTGAAACTCCCTGCTAACAGATTCTTTTTATCACACTCAGACGATGAATGAATCCTCTTCTTTAGTTACACCTAAATATGCCACTTTACTGTATTAGCCTTTCAAACCAACACAAGGACGAATACAAATACAGATTGTGTTTGTGTGCAGAGTTCATGGATGGAAAGAAAGGTCACTGAATGGTTAGTCTAAGTCATAATTCTTCTGTATAAACTTCAATGGTCATGTATTATTCCGTTCTTAAGTTAGTCTATTGCTGATGACATTTAACAAATATCTGCAAAACATGGACAGATGCTCTTTTGTATCCTGTTGTGTTATGTAATTGGTGAAAAGATTGATCTGAGTCTCTTTTAATCTCCTGAAATGTATCAATGATGAGCAATGAGCAGTGACACTTTCTAGAGTCCATAGAGAGGTATATAAACTGAGAGTTCAATGTGAACTCTTATTGTTTCATGTGAGAAATCTTTCGAAGCCTGAAGCTGCAATAGAGAAAATAGCTGCACGTAGTTGTTTTTAAAAAAAAAAAAGAGCAACAAACTATTATTGTTGTTATTTGATGTGGGTAAAACTGGCCCTGTGAGGAGTTTTTTTTACACAGATATAACCCTGAAGGGTTGGATCCACAAAATCCATTTTGGCACTTCATTTTCAGTGCTGACAAGAGGAAGTAAACATATTTAAATACTTAAATTTCAGTGTGTCCAGCCTGCCAACTGGTTCCATCCTAAATTCTAAACCGATCTTTCTGTGGCCAGATGATCATCCATCCCAACATTTTACAGAGGAACAGCTCCAGCAAAAAATACATAATTGGGATCAAATAAAGAAATGTAAAAATGTTTGTAATTAAAAAAAAAACAGAAATAACTGAGAAACATTCCCAGCCCCAGGGAAATGTATCATGTCTAACATGTCCAAATGGACACTGTGTAAACCATCTGACTATGAAACACCAACACATTTGTCAGAATTCCACAGAGGTCTGAGCATCACAGTAAGTGCCATTGAGTCAAAGTAAATGCTGAAACATTTAAAATATGTGGTAAAAAGAATGTGGAAAAACGGATCCGAACAGTTTCTTGTATCAATCCACCCTCATATATGAACAATTTGATTAACTCCCTTCATATTTAGTGTTCTGTTGTTTTATCTTCTCATAATGGTGCTTTTAGACCTGGAGAAAAACAAGAATGATCAAATCACCTTCAGCCATCCTACTTTCTTTGACCGTCCAAAGGTGACAGAGTGGATGTTGATGTGGGAGTTGAGCTTGTCACTGACTATAGTTGCTATCCCTGATCCCAGGTTGAATCTATGTAGAACTCTCCCACTACGCAGTCCCAAAACAAGGAAGTCATCACCATCATTGCCTGAAAAACATTATAAAGCGATAACATAGTTCAACAGTGTGACATTTTTTTTTCCATAACATTTTGTGCTAAACCCCCCTAAACGTGGATACATTACCAGTGGATCAACCAAAAATTGTACTTCTAGCAGTAATTTATACCCGTCATGTTTATTTTTCCATCTAACTTTATCAGAGCCATGGAAACATGCTGTTAAAAGATCTGCTCGTCTTTGATAGTGGTGGTTAGAGATATGGCTGTATTAAGCAATCATCATGCAAATAATTAATTTCTAATCTATTCTTATTTCCTGCCTTTGTTCCATCTGTAAAATGTTACTCGCTCTCTTGACAAGTGTTTCACTATCCACATCTCTCTTATTTTGTTTCGTCTCCACCTTGATGAACTGCTCTCTCTAGAGAAAACAAGCGAGAGATCTTGGGTTTGACTTTTTTCCTCCTCCTTTTGATGAAATATGCATCTGACAATGGCACAGCAGTTACCTGCTTCCTAATCTGACCTCACTTACAAGAAATCCTAATCTAACAGGATGGCTGCTCACAGAATTGTTGTGTACACCCACACCTCAAAGTCTGTTTAAAGCAATTAACTTCCATAGCTTTTGGCTGCTTGGTTTAACATTCATTTTTCTGTTTGTAGTGCTTCCCTTTTTGAAAGTCAGGAACAATTAAACATCAGCTGGAAATCAAGAAATTGCTGGACTGTGGGAAAACTCATCAAAACTCATCATTAATGCTTCACGAGCTACCTGAGGAAAAAAATCCTCAGGGAACCTTCCTAATTACACGATCTCAGAGGAATGTGGAAATCCATTAGTCGGCACATTACCATACGCAGCAGGTGAAATAAATGGCATTACCTTTAAAACCCCAACAAAGGTGGACAGCCTAAGTTAACATAACCTAACAAAGGAAACATCTTATTATTCTTTTTTCTTTTGACCTGACAGTATGGAATATTCTCACTGCTTTGTGGGTGTCAGCATGGTGCTCACCTTGTCCTTTATGTCCAGCAAAGAGCATCAGGTTGTCTCTGACAGCAGATGAATTATTTGCAAGTGTAAACTTCAGGTTGAACTCGTAGTACAAACTCAGGCTCGGGATGGAGGAATAAGCCACAAAGGAGGTGTATCCGAAGTCATCACTCCCACTGAACCTGGCACGGGTTATATTGATGGCTGCAAAACAAACAGATTTACGGCACATTTATGGATCTCATACAAGCACATAGCTGCTGCTGTAGGGTATGGTGTGTCTGTGTGTAATCCTGTAAACCAGGAGGTCGGATACTCAGTCAAAGCCTACCAAAAGATGGCACTATTGCCACACATTACATGCCCGTGCCTGCTGAAATACATGTATTATTTTTTTCTGACGCTATTAGATGATGACCTGTTTTCAAATACTACCACCTCCTCACTCCTATTCTATTTTCATCAGTAGCTGTTTAGGATAGATTCTGGCATGCTGGCTTCACTTCATATGCAATGTTCAGCAAGTGTAGCACAACAATTTCAATGGTATTCAATTACAAAGTTAAGTATACTTATTCCAAACGCATGGTTGATTCAATAATGCTCCCGCATGTATTATACCCATCAAGTTGATTTTACACAGGGGACTCAATTTTAATTTGCCCACGCTCATTCAAAATTACATGCTGCCATGTTTGTTTGTTTTCCCCCCCCTTTCTTCACAGAAGAGAGAACTCAGACACAAAACTGCTTTTCTTCTACATCCGGACGCTCCTTGGATATTCTTCTGCAGCCTCTGGCGATGGCTAAAAGGGGTTCAGAGCAACCCTCCCTTCTGCAACTGCCCTCAGCTCTGTTTGGCTGATCAATTATTAATAAAGCTGCAAATGCTTCTGTTATTGTCTGCAGGAGCTGTATTTGCCTATTGCTGAGTGAATGGCTAGATTATTTCAGCTATATCTTATTTCAGTCTTGCTTGATTTGGCCTTTTGCATGATTAATTTTGTGTCCTGTAACAACCTTTGTGCATTCTCTTCCCACAGGTGCTAAGCTGTTACAAACCAATGAAAGTATTGAACAAAATAATATGAAATCTTACCTAAACTTTATTTTACTTGTGTACTGTCATTTGATTCTTAATCATTTAATTTACAAAAATCTGGCCAGCACATCTAATAGAAGCAGATTTATTTTTAAACTCAAGGTGACAGCCTTTGATGTCATTGCATGGTATTTGAAAAGTAATTATTTTTCACATGAAAAAGTGATTGACATGCCACGAATTGTGTTTATGTAAACAACCTAGAAAACAGCTTCTGTTTAATTGCTGAGTTATATTGCTCCACTTCATGACATGCTGTCATCTAAGTGAGAAAAACTCAGACGACAGATTCTAACCAGCTTCACAGAATCAGTCAAAGAGGCATCTTGTTTGATTTTTGCATGTGCCATCGATTTTGTGCTCCCCCGGTGCAATTTCTCAAATCACATTCCCCAACAAAAGCTGATTCAAAGGACAATGGGAATTCTGTTGCTCCCATTTTTTGGGTAGACAAGACTACAGTAGATATCTGAAAACGATTCATTGCTAACAACAACAGCAGCTATGTTTGACTCCTCTATGGGGACCGAAAGGATTCTATTTACAGAGTGAATATGTAGGATTTAGTTTCTCCTTTTTTTAAAATCCATAAACCAGCAAAGGATTCAAAGACATATTTCATAAAACTGTTTGACATTTAGTAATATCTCAATATACAATATCAGTTCATATGCAGCTTTGTGATCCCACATTCAAGTTAGCCAACTCTTGTAAATTCCGTTGAGTTTTTAAGATGGAAATTAGTGCTTGTAGTGGAAAAGCTTCTGCTCTGTCATATGAAAAGCATTTATTTACGGATTGTTACCCCCCACCATGTCACATAATATTAAATATCATTTCCACTTTGCTGTGTATTTGTGTGATATGGTGCAAACCAACTGAGGCTGTGCAGGGAAAACAGAGTGACATACAGCACTGGATTGTGAAATGAATTCTGACATAAAACTGCATGTACACGGTGTGCATCTCCACTGCCGCAGAGAAGCTGTGAAAACAACATTTCTCCCGAGTAAGATACAAATACTGTGTGCAGCACACTGTTTTTCAATCTCAGTACCAAGAAAGGTTAACGAAAACCGCTCTGGATCAATACTAAACTGAGGAACTGATGCTGAATATTACTACTCGATGTTTAAGCACAAACAGTGGAAGCCTTGTAAATGGATTCTTTATAAGGCACAAGTTTAGGCACCTCTGAAGAAGACAACATATTTAGTAGATTTATGAAGTAAAAGACGTGAAACACTGCAACCCCCCTCAAGCAAATGGACATTAAGATATGAGCTATTTCTTGAGTGTTAATGCAGTACAGATTTATTTAATTTCACAAACATGTTTCAGAATACATCAGGCCTAAATTGACTTGCTGACGTGTGAGCAGACGGATGAAGAAATCCTAATTGAGAGCTTATGACAACTCCACAGCTAATACATTCTCTGACTGTTTAAACCTTGTGGCAAAGCTCAGCAACTATGGGACTCTCTGAGCAACTGATAGAGGATCTAAAAACCAAGCTAACTGATGACAACAAAGCAGAGAAACGCTATAAAAAGATACCAAAATACTTCCAGTCTAAAATGGATGTTTAGAGTAGTTTGAAGTCAAGACCTGAGAGCAATGAAACAAAAACTGCACATAAGCTGGGTTGACAAAGAAAAAATCTCTATGGGCAGGTTTAGTTTATGTTTTGCAGTGTTGATGCATAGGATCTACACGGAGAAGTCGCCACTTACTAACACAAGGCGAGAAAAAAGAGACACCTGCTTTAGGCTGAGTGGCTTTGGAAGTGCATACTGTCTGTTCACAATCATATTAATTAAATTATTATCTGATAATTTTGAAAGAAATTAAATTGAAAAGATGCTTACAGATTGAGATCAGGAGAATTATCTAAAGCAGGCCTTAAAAATCCACCATGAATCAGACTAAGCCCACAAAAATTAAGGTCAAAGTATACTGACTTGAATTTCACTGACAAAACTGTGGGTATAATTTTTAACATTATGTGCATGAAAGGTCTAAAAATATCCCCACACTTGAAGGGAGCAGAATTAATATATGATGAAAAGCCCTGAGAATAACATCTGTTTGTAAAGACTTATAAAACCAACAAGACATGTAATTTGGTCTAACTTTTGCACCGAGCCACAAATCAAATGCACTAAAATAAACTGCATTACATAACTGTACATCTATGCCTGATTTTTTTTCACAGTATGATTAAATCATTGCAGTAGCTTTTCTTGCTGTGTGAACTTAACACATCCTTTCTAGAGTCGGCCCTTTGAAAATGAAAATCAAGCTCAAGACTTTTGGTATGTTTTCTACAAACAAAGAATTTCTTTCAACATTCTCTGTGAGAAAATGTGACAAAATTATGTACAAAGTTCAACTTGAACTGACTGTAAATATACTGTAAATGTCAAATGCAGTATTTTGCTGTCATAGTTCTTTCTTTATTAATTCTAAGCATGAATGTTTAACTGGAGTGATGGCCAATTGTGTACAAAGGTATATCATTAATAATTCTTAGTGAAGACAATTTTAAAATCCATTAATGTTTCATGCACTCAACTCTCAAGGCATTCCAGCATCAATTCCTTGTCTTTCCGCTCCTCCATTTCCTGCTTGTTCACAGCTCCCCTTATCTATTAAACGCACATGGGAGCCAAGAACTGAAAATACTATATTTAGAAAAAAGGGGGGGAAAAAATCATATGGCTGTTTCATGTCTCCTGGTAGACAATTGGCTAAAGCTTTATTTTCTCAAACATGGAAGAACAGAGACAAAAGAAAAGCAAGGCGACTGCAGTTATTGTTACCAGTTTGTTAAGGCGTCACATTAAGTAAAGTGGTGCAAGATAAAAAAAAACACAAGAGAAACGACAACAAAACTTGAAGAGCCAGGGGAGTGATCACTTTTGACTAAGATCTAATCTGACGTTTTCAGGATTAAAATTCAAATGTCAGCGCTGTACTTAGTGGAAACTGGAAGGTTAACTTTCTCTTTTCATCAAATAGGTGCTGGGATCCTGACAGGGACTGTGGCATGGCTGAGTGACTTATATGCCAAGCACCCTGCTGCTATAACAGTCAGTCCAGTCAAGCAAATCCTTTTGTTTCTTAGAGCCACAACTTGTGAAGCCCCTTTCCTCGAGGCACTGCTGTTTAGGAAATAATCAGTTCAAATTGCTCATAAAAGTTCATATAATAAAAGTACAAGTTATTCTTATATGTTTAGTTAGTGGTAACTGCACATCGGAACAGACATTCTGAGCAGAGACTGCTCTGGAGCCGTGTTTGCAGCTCTGTGAGTCTGTACAGCTGTGTATACCCACACAAACCGAGTCCGGTGATCAGCAGGTGCCGTGTTCATCGTCCTAAACTGAAACGACACAAAATAAACTCTACAAGGAAAGACAGATATCTACTTATCTGTTTACTTTCTTGTTAATTATATCACTGCACAACTAAAAACTCTTCAAACAGGCACAGTATGTCATTATTTGTGTAGCTTTACTTGAGCTGTTCAAAGACACTGCTGCCTTCTCTCTCAATTTTGGCTGAAACTGTGAGATTTGTTTGCTCGTATATCATAGAGAGGTGACTGCATTGGTGTGATAGGTGGGACACCATGCACACCATTCCTGTTGACACCATTTTGAAAGCAACTAGTTCAATCTGGCCTGTGCTTTGTCACAAAATGTGAATTTGTGTGATAGATCCATCTGAAACAAGTCTGAATTTGATGTTTTAAGGAACATAATATCGCCTTATCTATGCTTGTAAGTTAATATTCAAATTTGATCATTTTCCATTTGTGTAGAAACGCTAAAATCAGCATGCAAACATTTATTCATAAGATGTACTCAAACAAATTCCAGTATTATTTAAACAAAACTCTCAAACTCACCCAAGTGGCAAATTCACCAAAGGCAAAACCCCTAAAAAGTAACGTCTGAAAATGGGTGGGTAAATACGGATGAAAGCGTGTGGAAGCTACATTAACAATGCCGGTTAAAGCTCAGCATAAGCTTCACATGTAAAGAAAAAGACTCTAGAGATCTCAGAGTCAGGCTGCAGAAATTAGAGTCGGAAATAAGATTTTATAAACTTAAAATAACCTTTTAGAATATTCATTTAAGCCGTCATGAGCTTGATTATCTGACTGTTGCTGCTGGAATCCTTTTTTGCTTGGTTTGTCTCTACCAACTGCTCAACGCTTTCATCCACAGAATATTTGCAGATCCCCTTCTTAATAAATCTGCTTTATGTATACTGAATGGTTCTGTGTGAGGTAATCCTATGCATCACTTACGCTGGTCGCATAGTAGACCCTGTCGCCCATAGGGGCAGAGACAAACAGCCTCCAATGGCGACTTTGGGATGCATGTGGCTCCGTGACTGCAGGGGCTGCGCTCGCAAGCGCTCAGCTGGCACAGCCGGCCGGTGTAAAGCGGGGGGCACTCGCAGAACCAGTCCTCAGCATCACTAAACGTGCAGGGAGACATCATTAGGTATGCCGTGCTCGTACAGTGGCTACCAGAACACACACACACACACACACACAGAGAAAAGGGGAGAGGGTAGATAAAACAAACCATCCTGAAATGAGGGATTTGAAAAGATGCCGAGGTATCCAGCCTGAAATGTGAGCTCTGCTGGAACACAAATTGAAAGACTGTACAGAAAGTGGTGGAGGAAAATACGAATGACGCTAAGGCTTTTGCATCTCAGCAGCTAAAGCAGAGCCACGTTGCTTCATGTGTCTTGGTGAAGATAAACATCCTGAAAAATAACAGCAGAAATTAGATTGGAACCCAAACATCAAAAAGCATATGGAGCATAGACGAGAATTTATACAAGATCTGATGTCTTTTTTATTCTGCATTTTTCCCAGCACACCTCCTCTCTTAGCAATAAGAGAAAGGGTGACATCCAGACAGGGACTTTATAAAGTGCTCTTAAGACACACACAGCTCTGAATGGTATGAGATAGTAGAAGCATTGGTGGGGTTTCAAACAAACCTATAAATTAGTAATGTGTTTTGAGCAGAAGCACTGCAGGTTATATTTTTACTCCTTGAGAAAATGGCTTCTACAAATTAAATATTTACATTCCGCCGTCAAAGTTAAGCATTGTTTGATATGACTTTACAAAAAAACAAAAGGATTGTTGTATAATACAAAAATCGAACCATTCGCTATCTCAGTTTCACACTGTTACCGGTTGTGAGGATTATTTTCAAAGATGGAACATATGATGCAGTTACTGAATACAACACTTACTGCTGACAAACATTTAGAAGGAAGTCAGGTTGATTTGGTGCTCTGAGGGCTGCTAATTTATCCCCTGTGTCGCTTTGTGCTTTTGTTGAAATATAAGACACACAGGCCACATGGTTCCTCCTTTAGAAGAGAAAGCTACGTCAAATGGTACATTTGACAAGATGAACAAGATGCTCAGTTAAATGGCAATTGGTTCACCCTTAAAACCTTTCAAAATGCTTGTTAAATGCAATAATGGCATTTAACTGCATTTGTCTTTCATTAATACACTCCGAGTTAATAATACACTCAGAGTTATATGAGTATATATTTAGTTATGTCTATATCAACTTATCTATATAGCGGGGAAAAAAGGGGGAAAATATGCAATTTTTGGACATTGGGAGTCCAGTCCCTTGACCAAGGGTGTTTTGAAATGCAAACATGGGTCAAACAGCCAACATACATTGACAACACTGAGCTATAAAAGTGGACAGATTAACTAATTCAATATGTCATTCAAGCTGTAGAAAACTCACTGGAAAAGAAATTTCAATCCAAAAATGTTATCACAGAGTTACAATCTCAGATATTTTTGTATTGAAATGATACTGATACTCATTTAGAAAAACTAAATTACTGCCAGATGGTTTTAGAAGATAATTTCAAAAACGGTTTTCAAATTCATTTATACAGTCATACTTCTTGTTTTTTCTAATATTCTGACTTCTGCGTGCTAAAAGTGACATTAGTAACATAATCATGTATCTGTTAAAGCCACTCTTACCGTGTTGTCTTATCTAATTTACACTGTTATAAATATGGCTCAATCGAAATGACTTGTACTCCGATCCACAGAATGGCCTTTTATTTGTCATTACAACAATCAGGCCATTCTTAAAATAGGTTTCTCCACTGGGATTTTGGACCTCTGTATTTTTGATGTTGGAGGGCTTACTTACTGCCCCCCTAGTCTTTAAAAATATATATTTCTAGGGAGAATAAAGAGCACCATAAAAAAGTGGGGTCTCCATCAAGTTTCTGGAAGGAAACACCAGACAAAAAAAAATGCTCCCTCAGCATTAGGGCAAGATAAAAAACATGACGTCAAAGTGCTCAAGAGGAAGAGCAAAGCTGAGTCACAGGGCCGGTTATCATCACTACAGCATTTATTTCTGAGAAAAAAAAACATAATCTGCTTATTAAAAGATATGCAAAGATCTGTTTGAGCTTGTGATTTTGGCGGCATCTTTGGCTCATCACTATTGCACATGCAGATCTTCTGGCTGTGAGATAAGATACAAGCCAACGCATCACACATGCGTTTTTGTCAAGTTTTACATGATCAGCTTGCCGTTAGAAATGTTGCATGCAACAAAGAAGGAGCATCTTATACATAAGATAAATTCACTGATGATGCTTTTTGCACATACATGGAAAAAAAGGTTCATTGTCCATCTGATTGATGTCTGATAGTCCAAACATCTGTTTTAACCGGTGGGTCTCAGTCAACAAATTCAACGCAGGCATGTTAATGGGCCTCTCAGATATTAAGCATCACTTAATCACTGGGAGCTCGCTACATGTGGGAAGTTTTTTTCTTCTGGAGAAAGAAATATCTCTTCCACAAGTTTGAGTTTCAGAAGGGTTAAAGAAAAGCTTGATAAATAACACATTTAACTATGTCATTTTGAAGAGGAGACAAACCATTAAAAATGAAGTGGGAGTAAAAACAGACAACAGATGTTTCTGGCTCCTGAAAGGTGAAGTATGTACAGAGCAAGGAGGGGGGGGGGACATACACAGTTAAAACAAAAAACACAACAAAAAAAAACACTTGAGTTTTAATCGGCCTAATCAAAAACTCGATGTGTGTGGTGACACAAGGTTATTTTAATTTGCCTGAGGCAATCATTTTGATTACAAAATTGTAGTGTCAAAATTGGAGTTTGCAGACTAATTTGAATATGTTAATCACAAATGTATGAAGCCCGTATCCGCCATGTGCCACGCCATTCAAATCTGGTCTGCCACAGCACACAAGGAGGGTAAATTATTGAAGAAGATATGCATTTTTAATCTAATGAGTACCAGATAAAATGATGAATAATTGACCAGTTAGCTTATGATACTCCTGTCAGCTGGAACAATACGCTTTGCAGCCATGTGTATTTCTCAGATTCCATTCTTGTAAGTTATTTACAGAGCACTTCATTTCAAGTTCAGGGTGACATGAAAATAGACCTACACGCTAAAGCCCTGATGAGGCTGCACTGCCATGACGGTTTAACTTCTCGGGATGAAAGCATTTAGCCCACTTCATCCTTTCTGAGAATAAAGAAGCACAATTGGGGCTGGTGGATACTATTCATAGAGTAGAACTACTCAGTGCTCACATACCGTTAGCTTTTTCCAGCCTTTTAAAGAGCCAATCAGACACGGATATATAAAATACAACACAACCCTTCAGTGGGTGCATGTGGTTGGCTTGGGATCATTTGAAATGTAATTAGTTACTCAGTTATTTCTGATTTGAATTTCATATCATGAGCGGAGGGGTAGGGTGGAATTTCCATGAAGCAATCACCTGACATGGGCTCCTGTTTGAGCAGCTGGCTGGTTGATGCCTCCCTGACCTCCTTTAGGTATCCTTGTAAACATTTGCTTGGCGATGAAGAAAGGATCTGTCTGTTCAGTATTTTTGGAACATACTGACATAGCAATACAAAAAACAACATGCTTGAATTTAAGCTTTTATAGAAAAGAAGAAAAAATGCTAAAGGAAACTTTTTAAAACTTCCCACAGTTGAAGCTAAAAATGCCACCCTTTGTGCAGAGCAGTCCTTTTCAACCAACACATTTCAAATATGCCAGTGTACACATACATGAAAACTCCTGACACGCTGAATGAAAGAGAAAAAAAAACATTATAATGCCTTTACTAAACAACAAACAAAAACAAGACAAAGCACATTTAAAAAAACCAAGTTCAACGAAGGCACATCTTGGAAAGGTACATCTATTTCTGTAAACCGAGTTTTTCTGACATATCTGTATTTTGTGTTTTTTTCTGCTCTTTATACAGCAGCTACATTTAAGATGCTCAAGGAAACAGAGGCAGAGGACATGGAGGTGTGAGGACCTGGTGCAATCGGCAGGGCTCGCTTCGCTGCACAGATGTTCCACCTGAGAAAACGTGTGCATTTAGACCAACACCTTCTTGGTTCACAGCAACACATTGAGCGAGTGGAAAATTGGGGACAGATTGACATTTCAGAGATAAGTGAGTACAGTTGCACCTCGAGCAAGTAAAGTGACAAACTGATCAGATAAACTAGGACCAGGGTTAATATTCAACATGTGTAAAGGAGATGCTGAACAGAGATTTAAAGAAAATACCTGGAGACCAATGTAAATCAGAAATGCTCGCAAAGCCAATGGATACTTAGCAGACAGGAGAATTCTGAAAACTTAGAGAAAAAAAATGAAAAGCTTCTTTATTTACTGGGATTTGTTTCAAGTCAAATTATGTCATTATTGACACCAGCTTCTGGTGCAAATCGCCTTAAGCGGAGATTTTTCAAAGGCATGACAATTTTATCTGACAGCTTGGAGAACATTGAGGGTGATTGACAAGCCATTTAGAATGGAATCACACTAAATGCATATGATGATCATGAACCACAGGTCTCATTACTATAGCATAAATATGCAATTCCCATTATAATGTCTTATAAAGTCTTATGTCCTATAATGCTGTAGTTCTGTAATCATACAAATTGAACATTTAAGCTACTTTAAAGTTTTCCATGCAAAATCAAGTCAAATTAGAAACCAAGCACTCTTCTGTGTATTGAAATTGGATCTAACTTTTTAATCAATTTAATCCAAACTTGATAGGGAGAGAAATCTTGAACAACTAACTTTGCATTTATAAAGGCGGTGTTTTTAATCAGCATTATCTATCTTTGTTTTTTATGTCTGTTTGACAGTTGGTTTCAAAATTAGATTTGCAAGTACAGTCTAGATAAAAAAAAGAAAAGAAAAAAACACAGATTTCAATAATTAAATTGTCAATCTACAAAACAGAAAATGATGAAATTATAATGAACCAGTCTTTGGGTTTGCATTGCACAAAGAAAGTCCAAAGTGCCATAAAGAGTAAAATCTGGAAGACATTAAACATTTTGTATATCCATAGAAAATGTAACTGACCTAATCAAACAGGAGGTCCACAATTGGTCCAGGTTTAGCTGTCATTCTTTAAGAAT